GAGAGAGAGAGAGAGAGAGAGAGAGAGAGAGAAAGACATAGAGGGAAGGAAGGAGTAAATTTTTATTAAGATAAAATTTCAATATTTAAATTCTCTTTATAATAATTTATTATTATTGAGAAAATAGTAAATTATGGGTAGGAATATTTACAATTATAAGAATGGTAACTTTGTTGATTGTACGAAATTATCAACTGATAAATTGAAAAATGCACTTTTCTGTTGCTATTGTAAAAAAGCAAACTGTACGCGTAAGCTAGTAAAATGAATTCTGTTACCAAAGACCAAAAATGTATGAATGGTAGAGAATGGAAAAATATTGGAGGAGGAAGAACGAAATTAATGCAGATAAAAAAAATTTTCGAATTTAATTTTAAATGGTAAATTTGGCAAAAAAATGTGTGAAAAAATAACTTTGAATGATGCAATCAACTGTTATGTTGATCAGGAATGATAGAAGGAAATGTTATATTGGAATTTTTTGCTACGAAAAATTTTATGAAATAAATGCTTGAAATAATGAAAATTGATGAAGAAAACGAGAAGAAAATTATGATAAAAGATAAGAAATAATTAATATTTCAATAAAATTCAAACTACTCAAAAAGAGGGAATCAAAAAAAGCTATAAAATCAAAAAAATGCTTAAAAATTAGAAATAAAAGGAGAAACAAAAAATATTTCATTTAAATGATGCTTTAATAGCAAAATTGATGACAGAAAAGAAAACGATGGAAGTGTATAAAATTTGCAAAATTGTCGTTGCTTATTAAAATTATGGACGAAATAATAAATCAAATGATATAGACGATAACACATGACAATTACAATTCGATGTTTAAAGAAAAAACAAAAAAAAAAAAGAAGTGGAAAAAAAGTATAAAAAAGAATTAGTAGTCAATTCAATTATATTGCAAAATATATTTATCTAAGAATTAAAATTCGAAAATCTCAGGCATGACTTTGAATGATATTAAAACATCTAATGATTAAAATTCATTAGTTATATGAATTTTGTGAATTTTATTACAATAAAGTTGCAATCAATTTAGTTCATTGAAACCTAACGAATATGCTAAATTTTTCATAGTTGATCAAATATTTGTCCTTTCACGACATTACACCACGATTTGTTAAACAATGCTGCGATTAATCATCAAATTAAAAAACTTTTTAAATCATAATTTTGATTGCTTTGGTCGAAAAATGAAAATTGTAACGATGAAAATAGCACCTAATAATATTCCAAGCATGACAACAATTACAGCAAATATATTGTTTGAGAAGCATAAACGTGCCGGAATAAATGCAATGCGTGCCGATGAAAAATCCATTAATTCATTATGATTTTGTTTTAATACACCATCATCCTAAATAAGTTTAATCTTAATTTATGCATTTTAATAAATTTTTCCTAAATTAAATGTAAAAACTATTTAATAATTTGTTGGAATAAAGAAAACGATTAAGATGAGTCATTTAAATTAAAATGAAGCAAAATAAAAATTTAGCTTAATAATTAATTTAAATCATCTTTTGTTTCGTTTTGATTTAAATATAATCATCAAAATCGAGTAATATGTCATATCACATATATATCATTATAAATTATAGATTTAATTTAAATTAGTTTAAAAATGTTACTTACCATTTCGTCCATGACTTCTAAGGTACTCATTCCGGTCCTAACGTCCAATGTATTGGCTGGGTCATACTGTCTCTTTATGTCACGTCGTTTCCTGAGCGACCGTCGTGCGGACTGTTTTTTTGTAGCACCAAAACCTTGCGGTTCAGGACATTCTGGTCGAACACATTCACCATTTGGCTCCTTTATTGTTATCGTTATTTGACACTGATAGAAAACTTCCGTACGATCAGCGTATTTATAAACATGTGCTTCTTGCCCAGCCATTAAATCTAAAGTTGCAAAAAAATCCAAAATTAAAATGTAAGTTCAACTTTTAGAAATATTAAATAAAATTATATTCAAAATCAAAAGGTTATTTAAAAATTTGCAATCAAATTTTTTAAATTTCACAAATAATTAGTAATATTTGAATAGGTCCGAAAATTTTATAAAAAATATTAAAATTTTTAAATTAGAATTATACCAGTTGGATATTCCAAATTATTTAGGAGATATTTATCTAAGGCACATCCTTTTTCGTCGAGCAAATTGATGCTATCACCATTGCCATCATCAACATAGCAAGAATGTACCAAAGCGCAAAATGTATTCTCAGTTTCCGAATCGCATGTCCATTTATGGTATACCGGTTGTCCGAGAGCGGCATATTGAACAGGTTGACCAGTTGGACCACCGTCTAGGATCTGGGTCACATTTTGATAAGTTAATGAAAAAATTGAAATATAAAAGTGTTACTACAGTTTTACAGTTTTAAA